TTTCCTAAGACAGCAATGCTTTCCTATGGAACGTTTTAAGTTAGGAATGGTGGCCTATAAGTGCTAATAAGCATTACGACAAATGTGACCACTCCGACAGTGATCGCCTTGGACATTTTCCACTTCTTTTCAGGTTTCTCCTGGTCGACATCAGCCAAATTTAATATAAACTTTATTTTACAACAATTATGATATAAGTTATTTCAATTTAAACTGATCACTCCTGTTGGTCCGGATGTTAGCGCGCAGGGGTGGGGGTGGGGGTTGGGTAGGGGGGGTCTTTATGTGGGAGGAAACTGGAGTACCAGGAGAAACCCCATGTAGTCGGGTAGGTGACCCCATACCTGTTCATGTCCGATCAGGGAATCGAGCCCCGGCCGCTTTGGTGAAAGCATAATGTGATAGATAATGGACATTGTACAGCCTACTTTCAAGCGCACATTTATCTAAGGTGCATTGATGATTGACCGTGTACTGCCTACATTGATGATTGACCGTGAACTGCCTACATTGATGATTGATAGTGTACAGCCTACAATGATGATTGTCCGTGTACTGCCTACATTGATGATTGACCGTGAACTGCCTACATTGATGATTGATAGTGTACAGCCTACAATGATGATTGATAGTGTACTGCCTACAATGATGATTGACCGTGTACTGCCTACATTAATGATTGAGAGTATAGAACCTACATTGATTATTGACAGTATACATCCTACAGTGATAATTTATAGTGTACAACCTACAGTGCTGATTGACAGTGTACAGCTTAATGTGATAGATAATGGACAGTATACAGAATACAGTGATGAATGGCCTACATTGATGATTGACCGTGAACACAGTTGTTCAGCCTACAGTGATGATTGACAGATTACAGCCTACAGCGATGATTGTCATTGTACAGCCTACAGTGATGATTGTCATTGTACAGCCTACAGTGATGATTGACACTGAACAACCTACAGTGATGATTGTCATTGTTCAGCCTACAGTGATGATTGACAGATTACAGCCTACAGTGATGATTATCATTGTACAGCCTACAGTGATGATTGACATTGAACAACCTACAGTGATGATTGACATTGTACAACCTACAGTGATAATTGACATTGAACAACCTACAGTGATGATTGTCATTGTACAGCCTACAGTGATGATTGTCATTGTACAGCCTACAGTAATGATTGACACTGACCAACCTACAGTGATGATTGACATTAAACAACCTACAGTGATGATTGACATTGAACAACCTACAGTGATGATTTGCAATGTACAGACTACAGTGATGATTGACAGTTTACTGCCTTCAGTGATGGTTGACAGCTGTACAGCCTACATTGATGAATAACAGTTCTACAGTGATGATTGACAGTATACTGGCTACAGTGATGATTGACAGTGTACTGGCTACAGTGATGATTGATACAGTTGTGGGATCGCATAACGTTACACGATGTGCGGTGTGCGCACGATGTGTGCACGGTGTGTGAACGATGTGTGCACGAAGTGCGAACGATAAAAAATTGGACGATCATTCCTTGCGCACATTTGTGCGGACGATCGACGAACGTTGGGCGATAACAATCGTGGTTGGTATAAATTAAGGAATGGCTTGACAATTTATACGGTTTCGTGTTTGAACATAAAATTTGATTTTTTATCATGTTTCTATACTTTAGCTTCATCTATAAGCATACATATTTCTGTCTATACTTTTTAAAATTTAGAAATGGTGTTTTGCGGGTTTTTTAAACGACCTAATTCAACACGTGTAAATGTACAACACAGTCTCGGCTATGCAGGTAAACATTGCCACTTGCAATTGGTACCTGGACCGTACGTAGTTTACTCCGCCCGGGGCACTTACGTAACTCTCCAAGGTGTGAAAACCAGATGAAGGAGAGCTATAGACCAAAACGAATGCAAATAACAAATATTAAACATCCAGTTGAGTTTTCAATTATGATATAAGTTATTTCAACTTAAACTGATCACTCCTGTTGGCCCGAATGTTAGCGCGCAGGGGGGGGGGGGNNNNTTATGTGGGAGGAGAAACCCCATGTAGTCGGGTAGGTGACCCCATACCTGTTCATGTCCGATCAGGGAATCGAACCCCGGCCGCTTTGGTGAAAGGCAAGTGTGTTATCCACTGCGCCCCGACCAGCCAAACTTGATACAACACAGGTATCTGCCTCGGAAAAAGGGGACATACACTTTACACATAATACATGTTTATTGATGTATACAGTATATCATCCCTTTTTGGGAGGCACATGCCTTTGCACAAATGATCCTTTCATCAACCTGCCTGTTGTGGCACAAATGATCTTTTCATCAACCTCCCTGTTGTGGCACAAATGATCCTTTCATCAACCTGCCTGTTGTGGCACAAATGATCCTCTCGTGGTACTAAGTTCTACTAACAAAGTGATTATTGTTTCTGAATTTAGGATTATTTGAAATCGAAGAAAAACCGCAATTACCCCTACCAAGTGTCCGACATATTGAATTATCTGGAACAACTTTAAGATTTGTTTTTCTTCTTTCTGAAACTAAATGTTATGTTTGAACAATTTAAAACCAGAGCTGACAATCTTGCCCTCATTGGTCGTTACATTTTAGACTTTCTCAGCAAATTACAGGCAGATATTCAGACGAATATTCCTATTACGTTAGGTCATCCCTCGATGAGTACGTGTGGAACATCAATTTTTATTCATTAAAACAACATCTTAGTAGCAAGGAGCATAATAAGTAAATAAAATACAAGGCTATCCGTATTACTCTTGAACTGCAGTATCTAGAACAAATGGACTCTATCAGGCTTCAACTATTACAGAGAAATGGACATGAGCCAAAGAAATGTGCCTTATTTCTGTATAAAAATGATTTCATTTTTCATCTTAAATATATTTTGAAATTTTTTGGAAGACAGAGGACATTCATACCCTATGAATATTTCAGTAATTTCAAATAAGTTTGGTTGTCTTGGGGGGAAAACATGAAATTGTTCATTGGAGATTTTCCGACCAATACAGTAAAAAATACTGTAATTGAATACATATTATGAGCTTTCCCTCCTTTTTTCTGTGTAAAAAATCCATTTTATTCTTTCAATCAATAAAATAATGTAACAGGAACATGAAATTCATAAAAACGAAAAACACATGGTTATCCAAATTACTTTTCACACTATAGTATGAAGAACATACGAATCTTCGGGCAAAATGACCTTGAGAAGAGACAAGTTTGACCAGTCACACATTGCCATCTTGTTTACAATTGTAAAACGGGGAAGGCATTTTGAAGTGTTACATAGGCATGGTTTGTAGGTAAAATTTATTCAATATTATTAGCATAATTTTCTATAAAAAGAACTGGTCTAAATGACTGTTGAAACACAGGTACTAGCCTCGTCTGTTAATACACCTATTGTAGGTGTATTGGAAGACGAGGCTAGTACCTGTTGTTGAAACGTGAAATCAAAGCCATGGTTATGATTGAAACAAGAGGCCAAGAGGGCCTGTATCGGTCACTGGATATCTAAGCAATCATGGCAAAATATTCTCCAAATGAGATCCAAGGGAATATGCCAAACCCCAAGGCCAATCCTTGTAGCATATCTGTATTAGTTTTTTTTATGCCCAGCAATTTCACGTATGGTTATGGGGTGGGGATCTCAACTGTTTCCAAGCTTAGACTCAGAAATTAGGTCCCTAGGGTTTTGGCCAGACCCCAGGATCAATTATAATATCATGACTGCATTTGTCTCTTTTTGCAGCATTTGTATATATAGTTTTGGGGTGGGGATCTCAACCCTTTCAAAGTTATGACCCAGGGGTTAAGTCTGCAAGGGTGGGGCAGACCCTGGGGGCAATTCTAATATCATGACTGCATTCGTCTCTTTATGCCATGCAACAATTGTATATATAAATTTTGGGGTGGGGATCTTAACCATTTCGAAGTTATGACCCAAGGGTTAAGTATCCAAAGGTGGGGTAGTCCCCAAGGCCATCCTGAAAGCATATGATAGAGTGGGAATCTCAACGGTTTCCAAGCTGTGACTAAGAAACTAGGTCCCTAGGGGTTCGGTCAGACCCCAGGATCTATTCTAATGTCATGACTGCATTCGTCTCTTTATGCCCAGCATTTGTATATATAGTTTTTGGGTGGGGAACTCAACCGTTTCAAAGTTATGGCCCAGGGACTATGTCTCAAAGGGTTGGGCCAGACCCTAGGGCCATCCTGGAAGCAAATGTGCATTCTTCTCTTTATACTTAGCAATTGTATATATGGTTATATGGTGGGGATCTCAACCATTTTCATGTAATAAACTTTTTTGGCCCCACCCCTTAGCCCCACTGTTTGTACAATTTTGAATCCCTGCCTCCCATGAATGCTTCGGACCAAATAAGATTGATATCCAAGGCATAGTTCTACAGAAGAAGTTGTTTATAGCAATATATCCAAATTGCACCATTTTGGCCCCACCATCAGCACAACCATTTGTACAATTTTGAATCTCCACCACCTAGGGATGCTTCAAGTCAAATATGGTTGATATCCAGTGCATAGTTCTACAGAAGAAGTCGTTTGTAGCAATATAGCCAAATTGCCCCCTTTTGGCCACGCCCCTAACCACCCTGGGGGGTCAGCCCCACCATTTGTACAATTTTGTATCCCCACCACCCAAGGATGCTTCCAGTCAAATATGGTTGATATCCATCTCTTAGTTCCAGAGAAGAAGCCGCTTAAAGCAATAAAGCCAAATTGCCCCCTTTAAGCCCCGCCCCTCAGCCCCACCACTTGTACAATTTTGAATCCCCACCACCTAGGGATGCTTCCAGTCAAATTTAGTTAAATTCCAATCAGTGGTTAAGAACAAGAAGTCGTTTGAAGAAATTGTTGACGGACGGACGCCACGGTATGACATAAGCTCACCTTGGTCCTTTGGACCAGGTGAGCTAATAATAACAGGAGAGAGATCATTTTACAAAAAAATAATTTATTCATGTCAATATCACAGAATAACAGAAAAGAAGCAAACAATTTAACCTTTGAACAAATGTATATGTATTGAGTCAGCTGTATTTATATATAGATGCATTCACATACTGGCAAATTCAGTAAAGTGGAACAGAAATTTCTGCTTTTGGTGGGTTTTTTGTTGTTGTTAATTTTGCTGTTCAACAACTTAAATTCAACACAGGGCAGAAATTATCTATAAATTTGACTGTCTATATAGTTATCTACATACAGAGTAATTAATCAATAGTGTTATTGTCTATAGAGTTATTCTATGAGAAAAATAAAAGGTAGGCAATTTCAATACCGAACAAAGTTGTTTAAAAAAGCTGAATAAGTAAACATCTTGCAGGGAAAAAAATATTGTTGCTTTTTTTGCTCCAAAATACCTGCTCCTCAAAGGAACCAGGTCTAGAATAGATATTTCAAGTGAAAAAGTGTGACGATTTTGATGATTATAGTCTACTAAGAGACTCTACCGACTACAGGGAAAGGGGAGGTAACACACTACTAATCAGAGATATATTGAAGTTACCGACTGTAAAGATATGACTTAAAGTCAGACAATAGTCATAAAATGGCAAGTCAATCTGCTTACATTGTCATGTAAATGATCTTGAATATTTTGCATAAGGACTTTTGATTATTTACATAAAGTGTGTTTACAAGAAATACAGGTTGAAGAATGGCGTAACATTGACAATTGTAAGCTTTAAGGCCACATTTAGACAAGTTCAGTCATCACAAACACTTGAAACCATTAACCACTTTCAGTAATCATTACCTAAGCTGATTCCACTAGATCCTTATTTACTAGGATATTCCATGTGGTAGGGATCCTTAATGATCCAAAGAGTAATAAAGACTTGGTTCTAACTTTCCACTGCATCTAAGTCAGGTGTTGATCACGTTTGTCTTAATTCAAATTCAGCCCTATGTAGCAATTAAGATCCCTTGGTATTACGAATCATTTCCTCCATTATGTCCCACTGTTCCTTTGTAACCTGGCGAAGTTCATTAAATGATCCTGCTCTACCGATAAATTCTCCTCCATCGAACCGTACAACCTGAAACCAGAAACGTAACAGTATAGATAAATGTATACAAACATCGACAGCAACCCACAGACATGTTGATTGAGATGAAAAGTTACCAATCAAACTTATTCTAAAAAACAAATAAAATCAAATCGGCTAAAGTTTTAAAAACTCTAGCCTGTAACACTGAAATGACTTCTTTGTATTGTACGTAACAACTCAGAATAAAATAAGTATATATTTTAATTGGTAGCTTCAAAACATTTACACGATAAATTACTCCAGATAAGTAACAGAAAATTGAACACAAAACCAGTGTTGAATTGAAGAGTTACACTTTCAGACAGAAAGAAATTTATTTTCAGTTACCTCTCCTGTTACCCAGCTAGCATAGTCACTGACGAGGTAGCTAGCCAGGTTAGCAATCTCTTCTACTTCTCCAAGGCGCCCTACTGGCATCACTTCCTTTACATTATCTATAAACTGACCAGTGGGGTCCAGACGGCTAAATGCACCCTATCATAAGACAACAAAAGAATTACAGCATCTTTTCAATATCAATGATATCAAATAATTTATTTAAGGATTAACTTGAATATATTTTTGATGTTATGGAGATATAACACAAAAAAACGGAGTGTACTCTAAATAGACTGTGAAGCGGTTTATGATGAGAGTACTCTCCGGTTTTTTGTGTTATAGCTCCATAACATGAAAAATATATTCAAGTTAATCCTTATAATTTAATCTACTATACACAATCCCTGTGGAAATCCAATTTTATTTATCGACTCTTTTCTCTTAGAAATTATTGCGCCGCTGTATCAACCAATCAAAAGCGACGTTACAAATGGCGATGTCATTTTTTTACGTTATGGGATGCTAACATAATTTTTTAAGCCAATGGAAATGCTTGTTACAAGCAAGATTAAATAATTATAATATAAACTGAATCTAGAAGGATGTGGGTTTGAACTTAATGCTATTATCTATACATGTATTACCAAAATAATGGGAATAACAGCCACGGTTGCATTGGTTTTAAAGTTCTGACTTATTCAATAAATCGTGAAAAATCTTTTTAGCGAGATATCCCGGTGTCACTATCTGTACAAACAATCACACTTACCACTGTTTGGATAGGTCCTGGGGCAATACAGTTCAACCTGATGCCATATTTTCCCCACTCAGATGCTAAAGATCTGTTAAAAAAAAAAAAGAGAAAAAGATCTGTTGTAAATTTTGTTTTTGCTAGGATAATCATAACACATAATTGTTAAGATTGACGGTGCTTGAACTAAAATTGTATTTTGGGAACAACTTTTGTCAGACATAGAACTCTTTCTGTAATGCATATCTTTTTCTGGTTTTGTACCATATATCAATCTGAAATCACTACTTACAGCAATATTCTTAGTTGACAACCTTGACTACCTTAACATTTTTACCAAGTTTCAATTATGTTTTTTTGATCAGTTTTACTATACAATTAAACATCTCTATGTTTCTTTTCATAGATTACAGTAATTAAGAATTGCTTTACCTGGAACAGTTAACCAGTTACATACTCTGTCCAGTATACTTATTAACCCTTTCACCACTGTAGACCATAATGGACTGATCAAGATCAATGCATGGTCGAGTTTATTAAAGTTACATAGGGTTGAAAGGGTTAATAAGGACATGGGTGACCAAAATCACTGCACCTAAATAGCTTAACAAAATGTTAAAACCTTGGAGTGTCTTGAATTAACTGTTTTTTGTAGTCATATATTTTATACTTTGTTGGATAATGATGTTATAAGATTATCGTAAAATTTCAAAGTTGAATAATGACAGGATGGGTGACAGAGCCTAGGATATGGTATGACCAAGTTTTAATAGAGCCAAGACATTGACTAAAATGAAAAGAACACAGGATTAGGTGATATATACTTTGTCATGGCTTCAACTCCTGCCTTGGCTGCGGCACTAGGAGAGACATAACCTGATCCACTTTCTGCGTATATGGTAGTTATAGCAAGGAAGGCAGCACCTGTAGAGAAAAAGGCTTGTTATAATTAAGCTAAAAAACATCCATTTTAACAGTCAAATTCAAAGGTTTGAAATTGTGATATAAACTGTGTGCATGTAAGGTTGATGCCAACAAACCTTACAGACCTCTCAATGACCAAGGTCAGTGTGAATCCATGTAGCTTTTGTTTATTCATTAAGATTGACCAAATTTCGTTTCTTTTCGTGAGACCGATTGAAATTTGTGAGAATGTGTCTCACGCCGTGAAGATTTTATCGGGCAGTTTTCGTGAGTCTCATGCCAAAATCGTTAGATATGGCATGTATGCTTATTAGGGATACAGCCAGAACCTACCCTGTCCTGCGGCTATGAGGCGCTTGCCAATGTCAAGAGTTACATAGGCAGAGCCATTGAGTACAATGTCTGTGATGGTCCTCCAAGCGTTGGGAGAAAGTCTCTCTGATGGTGATATAAAATTTCCAGCAGCATTGTTTATAACAACATGTGGTAGTCCAAACTCTGCCACACACTGGTCAACAGCCTTTTCTATTGTCTCTGGCTTTCTCACGTCAGCAGCCACAGCAATTACCTAAATGAACATAATAACATACTAACATTTAAATATCCAGTAACACTACACAATAATCGAAACACTTTAACATCAACAATAATAGCATGACTGGTCCTGTTATATTGTTTACAGCTGTTTCACATTTCAAGTACTTGTATTTTTATTGTTTTCAGTTGATTTTCCTAAAAATAATATAACATGTGGTTAGGAAAGATACAATATTTGAAAATCTCTGCAGTTATGAATGAGTCTTTTTTCAAAAAATGCTGACTGCATGGTGACTTTACGGACAAGCTACAATTTTACCAATTAAAGAGCTTCAAAAACAATATCTACAAACAAGGTATCCCTATTTTCACATCTTGTTATGAGGTCTGATGGAAGTTCCCTTATTCTGAGAGTTGAAACCGAATCTAGATCTGGTCTTTAAAATGCTGTCAAACATTCCAATCTGTACAACAATCGAGTACACATGTACTCAGTACAATTGCTGGAAATATGACAATGAGTCTGTTATACCTTACTTCCAGTTTCCTTGGAAATTTCAGCTGCTGTTTTTTCAAGCACATCTATTTTTCTGCAAGTATCAAGACAACATTTTACATATAATCAAATACTTTCCTCTAACATATCAGATACCAAAAAAAAAAATATAATTAACAAGGTTACTTTGAAGTGGTTTGACTGTTGTTGATTGATCAGTTGCAATTGTTTGTACGAATGAAGGAAACATATGAGTGTTTTGAGGAAATAGATGTTAAACAAGAAATCTTTCAACAGCAGATTGATGAATGAGCTAGTGCACATCATAACACACATGTAGTATTGCATTATAGGAACCAAAAGGAATACCTCTTTTTTAATTGAGTTAGTATATGGTGTTTATCAAACTTCATGAGCTTTTAGGATAGAAAAGTTGAAAGTTACTCCCTTTAAAGTTATTACTTGAGATATTATGTGCAGCAAAACCAATGAGTGACCATAACTTTAAAAAGAAAAGTAAAATATTTGGGGTTATTAATCTTATTCAAGCTTTCATGCTATTAAAAGAGAATGAAGGGGTTTTAATACGGTGACTTACCTACTGGTGATAACAACTTGTGCTCCGAGTCGAGCCAGCATTGTTGTCATTCCTTTTCCCAGACCAGTACCTCCTCCTGTTATGAAAACTGTCTTTCCTTTAAATGAGCCTTCTGGTAGCATGGGAGTCTTGACCACTGGAAACAGCTTGCCCTGTTCACCAGCACAGTAGGGAGACGAGACTGACAGCTGACGTACATTCTAATAATTTGAAACAAGTCAAACAACACAGGATATCAGAAAGTTAAATGATTTGCATAAAAACATTGAAGATACTGAAATGTTTTCTGAGTGCCACAATATATCTTATTTCAATTCTGGAATCCTTAAGATTGTGTACATCTCAAATCACTCTTCTGCGACATTAGGCCAATACATAATAACAATAATAGCCATTTATTTAGCCCTCTATCCTGCAGAAGCTAGCGATGCTCTAGTACAGCACTTCAAAAGTTAACTTAAAAGACAAATATATTTATATTAAAAATATATATACAATCACGGAATAAGATTAGATTGCTATCTAATTAGTCTGTGATACCACGGAATTAGATTTCTAAGTCCGTGGTGATACAATTGATATTAAATAAATATTAAACTGAATTTTGTTGAAACAACACTAGAACTGTATTCTCAGGATGTCATTTATGTTTTAAGACAAGAAATAATAATCTTTTTAAGACAAGAAATAATTACATAACTGAATCCCTGTTCAAAAAGAATACTTATTAAGCTTACAAATTAAAGCTTTGAACAGTTCTCTAGTATAACCCATCAGCTCCTGAACAGTGATCTCCCCTTGGTCTGACTTGAGATACTTCGTTCATGTCAGCATAATCAGATGATGTGTGATAAAACTGCTGCATGTATCAGTTTCCACAATTTCATTGTATTGCGTCCGACAATTATTTTATCGACAATAAACCAGCACTGCTTGTATCTCGTTACTGCAGTTTGTGTCGTCGTGAACTTTGAACCTTTCTGCTGTACTGTGACTGTGTGAGCTGTCATTTAGTGATATATATCTGTTTTATGTCAATTCGTTATATCTGAACCATGAAGAACTAATTAGTAACATTAACACATTTGAGAAAACACATCTACCATGCATTAGTCTCCTTACTTGAATTTTAAGAGCCCTATGGACTCGACCGGCAATTCTGTTGCAGAAGGCTGACATCTTGAAAGATCCCGGATGTTGTTGGGGAGGTATTGGAAATTGTTGTTACAGCTTTAGATAGACTGCTTCCAACAAAGCAAGCTATGCATATTATTTCACAAAATAGCATCAGAAAATATAAATATATATTTTATAGGAATAGTAAGTAAACCTTAATCTAATAAAAAATGAGTGTATTTGCATATTAATTTATTGCAAATGATTACTCCATATTTGACTGCTTCCGCATTGGATCATCAACAATGTTGTGAAGTACTGTACATTGGAGTAAGGGCAGGATGTTTCGTAAATTCTTTCTGAACAGACAGGTATTACTTCAGTTGTTAATTAGTACAACTCTACTAAAACCCGTCTTTGTAACCACTTGTCATGTTTTCCATTACTGTGATTGGTTTTAGAATATTGGATACAATGATAACAATGGGGATTATTGTAACTTATATAATTACCATGCTCTATCACTGATTTTCTTTAATAATTTTCTTAATAACTAAAAGACCTATCTTCATGATATTTGACCCTTGCATATCAGATACCATGGATGGAATCTGATAACAATGACCTCATACAAATGACCTTGACCCACTTTCAAAGTCACATGGGTAAAATCTGAACCAATCATGCACTGCTAGACTGGGTCACCAATGATCCTGGGACCCTCCAAACTCTAGACAGACACTCTACCAACTGGGCTTCCTGGTCGCCTACGACAGATCTACTATTTTGTACTGACCTCCTTTCTTTATCTAAAGTCTGTGCCCCCAAAGACAACACTATACATTCCAGATTCGGGAATCTGAGTGACCTTGCCAAACATCAACCCAACTAGTACTTGAAGCAAAGGATGGTCACAGACACCAAATGTATTCAATACATGACCAGACAGGGATTTGAACCCAGGACCCTTCCTGACCTTATCAAATTTTCGTCTTGATAATTTTCGTGACAGTGGTGCTGATAATGTAACTGGGAACAATTAAAATTGGCTATAATGAGTGAAAACTGTCTCCTTATCAAGAGCTAATCTTGATAGATGTATGGATTCATATACGTTTTACTAGGCAGAAATTGGGTGCAATAATTCCTTCATAAAAATTAACTGTACCTGCATTTCAGATCATAGGGGTCAATAGTTAATAATAAAATAATAATAATACGCATCGTCCTTATCTAGCTTAGAATAATGCTACTCTAAATCGCTTTAAAGTACATATTTATCTACAACTTATACAATCAATACGATTAGCATACATATATATACATTAATCTATTCAATTTTAAGGAAACTCTTTCTCTGAATGTTCGATGCATACACCGCCTTCGGGGGATCAGACCCCGGCTGCCCGCGTGGAAGGCTGGAGAGTTAACCACTCGACCAATCCGCCCATGTTGACAATTTATGCATGAGTCGTCTAAATTATAAAGAGCCCTGGCGTCATGATACACTGACTTCAGTATGTTAGGTAGCTATAGGTCATACATGCACATTATTTTCTATTTATTGTATTACAATTAGAGGTCACCTATTAACACTGGCTCAATCGAGTCAAGGTCAGCATGGGCTTTCATAGATACTTAATCACAGATACTTAATCACAGATACTTAATCATAGATACTTAATCATAGATACTTATAATCATAGATACTTAAAAGGAAAACTAAAATCTTATAAAGTTCCCCATGATCAAGTCCCAGGTACATGCATGTTTTTTGTCCTGCAGATATCTGAGTTGGGGTGCTACACAATCTCTGCATATTTCTGACCTTGACCTATTTTCCAGGTCAGATATGTTGAATATCTCAAACAACATTACCTATAGAACTATAGGATCTAATCTACGTACTTGGGTCATGGAGCAGTGTGAATATGTTTCTAATACAATAATATTGTGACAGTGGTGAGGACAAATCTCAATTTCAAGCACTGGCAAGGGTCAAAGATCATCATGGACTGTAATTTGTTAAAGTGTAAAACTAAGAAGATTTTGAAAACTTTGTTCACTAAAAAAACGTAAAATCTTATTATGTTCCATGTGGCGCAGGGACTGGGTATTGAACAAAATAGGTACTGGTGGTATATGCTGGATTTTGAGAAACTAAAGGAGAAAACTTCAAACATATATTCATAACAACTGGAATTAGATTTCAAAATCTCATTGATATCTCCTAGATCCAGACAACTTGTGAAAACTTTATTATTTATTCTTTTATTTTTTGGTAAGATTGATCTTCTCTGCTTCATAAATAGTAAATTTTGGAAACAACATGTATTAGTACATGTAAGTTGTCAGTATGTAAAAATATCATCAAATTTATGACATCACAAGTCCATGTTCCATGACAAAGGATTAATCACATACAGCACATAGAGAGAGTTTCCTTGTTTCTTTGCCTCCTCTTATATTATCTGTCTTCTTACATCTCATACTTTTATTCTCTCTACCTTTATTTTTCAAATATTTTCTCTCTCTAACTTTGCTTAGAACTGCTATAACGTGTTTCTAGGGTTTCTATTTCACTTCTTGAAAAAAAAGCAATAAACAGAAGATTTAGAACTATTATTTGAGAGACCCAACCATATACATATACACTGTAACCATATACTTGTACATGTACCTGTGTTCTGAATATGAAGAGATGGCTCCAGGTTCTGGCTCTGTTCATTGCTAAATGTGTGATTGATTCCTACCTTATAACCATGTATACTATTGCTTGACAGGATGAGATGAATACACTTGTGCTACTATTGTTAACCCCAGATCCTGCTGGCCGCTAGTACTTTATTTTTTTTTATGTAGGATTGAGAACCATTTTTAGTATGATGAAACAATTACACAAAGCCTTTATTTACGATAGCATATTTGTAAGGCCTTGAGCTAGGACTATTTTCCTCAGCCTTCATCTCTGGGAAATACATTAGTGGCCATCATTAAATATTTTCCCAACATTTTCTGTCTTTTTAATATTTAGTCATAACACAGGCATAAATTGTTGATTATTTCTTAAGTATTGTAGCATTTGTAGTTTTAAATGATTCACATTTTCATGATAGAAGCAAATAAGTCTGTGTTAACAAACACTTTTTGATAAGTATACTGATAATCTGTCTCATCAACATTTGCAGTTTCCTGTAGGGAGATGGCTACGCCCCTATTGTGAAGCCAGCCCACCACCGTCAGAAGCAGAGCAGCAGCTAGTAGGCATACTGAAGGAGAAGTTTCCAACTGCTTCACATGTTGAAGTCACAGATATCTCTGGTGAGAATATTTGGGATATCTTTGATAATATATACATCCATTTGGGATTATTTAATAAGAAGTTTGGCATGATTTTGTTATTTTTTCTATAATGGGTTAAGGCCCAGTTTTTTCGAATGAATGACCTTGTGTTGAAATCTTTAAACAACTTCTTTATAACTAGAAGGCCTAGGTTGATGATATGGCTAGTAACATACTGGAATGAAGGGTGCTACCAAGCTTGTTCAAATGAATGACCTTCACTCATATTCAAGGTCACAGGGGTATATTGTCTTATAAAAACTTTAAACGACTTCCTCTGAATTACCAAAAGGACCAAGATGATGATATTTGGCTAGTTAACTGCTGGGATCATCTGAAGGGGTACCAAATTTGGTCAAATGAATGACCTTCACCCATATTGAAGGTCACAGGGGTCAAATATGTCTTATAATAAAAAGATGGCTAGAATGATGATCGATATTTAGCAAGTGTCATGCTGGGATAAAAAGGTTACACTCTTTCCAGGTCACATCTGGTCAATTGTGTATAATCCTTTGAAAGACATCTTCTCAATAAACAAAAGGTCGAGGGTGGTGATATTTGGCAAGTTGCATTCGGATGAAGGGCTATGAAGTTTGTTCAACTTACGTCTTTGTTTGACTTTCGTGGGCACAGGAGTTAAATGTGTTTAAATCTTTTAATAGATTCTTTTGAATGAATTTGAGTCAAAGATACTGATTTTTTGCCTGCAGCTTTATTTTAGTCCACTTTTAAGGTTACAAGCATAAAATTAATACCAGGTGAGCGATTCAGGCCTTTTTGGCCTCTTGTTCATACCTGTCTCTGACACCTGATATTCTACTTCATATAATGTTGTGTCAAGCATTGAGTAAATATCAATGACGCAATGTCCTTGATACATGCATTATGTAAATCTACCTGAAAAATGCACTGTCTCTTACATACAAATGGTGAAACTATAAAAGCAGGGTTTACATACATTCTCTGCCTGTTACCATATCTATCCAACAATAAGCCCATGCCTGTTGATAAGCCTATCTGTCCTTATCAAAAGCCTGAAATTAATTCTCCGATCAGTAATACTACCCCCACTTTTGATCCCACATTTCATAGTGTCCCTGGGCTTATTTTGGTATAAAGCCATGGTTAACATCAATTCATTCTGAAACAGGCATTGCCTGGTAATAAATTATAACAGCCTAACACTCAAGGCCTGGAACAGGCTTCTTGACTTATCAGGAAGTTGTTCTACAAACATGAGATGTTCTTTATAGATCCTGAAATAATGTATTTCAAGTATTGTAGTGCACATATTTGTTTTCGTGCCCTGTAACAAATTGTATCAATTGTACTTTTGGCTAGTAAAGGTTTTGCTTTAGGTCAATTTTGGACTGCAACTGCAACTTAAATTGTTCATGACATTTTGTGACCTCCTTGACTTCTGTGTACTTGGTAAGTATTTGTGTTTAGGTAATGTATCAGTACTGCAGATAGGGTCACATGACTTCATATGCTAATGCTTCGCTATGAGTACAGCATGTTGCATTACTTATTGCATTCTTGACCTTTGAACTTGATGTCTTTGACCTTGCTTTAGTTCTTAAGTGTCAGAGCTTGGTATCCAGTTCTTATGATCATGCTTCTTGGTAATGATGTTTACACAAATAACAAATAGTTTCTTGTCACAGGAGGTTGTGGAGCCATGTTTGAAGTATTGGTAGAGGCAGATTCATTCCAAGGAAAGCGAATGGTGGCACAACATAAAATGGTTACAGAGGTGAGTAATTATATACACACTGTATCTTTATAATTTTATCATTTATTATGATACATTACTTTGGAAACGCAATGATGAAAGAGCCTCTTTCCCCGATGAATTTCATGTATATTCAACTTTTAATTGAATAAAGGATTTTGGCAGATTTTCTCTGATTATTTATGGTGGTCTATTGTTTTGTGATTATTTATGATTATCTATTGTTTTGTGATTATTTATGATTGTCTATTGTTTTGTGATTATTTATGATTGTCTATGGTTTTGTAATTATTTAGGGTTGTCTATTGTTTTGTGATTATTTATGATTGTCTATTGTTTTGTGATAACTTATGGTGGTCTATTGTTTTGTGATTATTTATAATTTTCTATTGTTTTGTAATTATTTATGGTGGTCTATTGTTTTGTGATTATTTATGGTGGTCTATTGTTTTGTGATTATTTATGATTGTCTATTGTTTTGTGATTATTCATGATTGTCTATTGTTTTGTGATTATTTATGGTGGTCTATTGTTTTGTGATTATTTATGATTGTCTATTGTTTTGTGATTATTTATGATTGTCTATTGTTTTGTGATTATTTATGATTGTCTATTGTTTTGTGATTATTTATGATTGTCTATTGTTTTGTGATTATTTATGATTGTCTATTGTTTTGTGATTATTTATGATTGTCTATTGTTTTGTGATTATTTATGATTGTCTATTGTTTTGTGATTATTTATGATTGTCTATTGTTTTGTGATTATTTATGATTGTCTATTGTTTTGTGATTATTTATGATTGTCTATTGTTTTGTGATTATTTATGATTGTCTATTGTTTTGTGATTATTTATGATTGTCTATTGTTTTGTGATTATTTATGATTGTCTATTGTTTTGTGATAACTTATGGTGGTCTATTGTTTTGTGATTATTTATAATTTTCTATTGTTTTGTAATTATATATGGTGGTCTATTGTTTTGTGATTATTTATGGTGGTCTATTGTTTTGTGATTATTTATGATTTTCTATTGTTTCATGATTATTTATGATGGTCTATTGTTTTGTGATTATTTATGATGGTCTATTGTTTTCTGATTTTAGGCACTCAAAGAACAGATAAAGGACATGCATGGTTTAAGAATCACAACAAAAGTTCCTGATAATTCCTAGCACTAATTAATAATTGTTTGTATGAGAGTCTGATATTATGTGATAGAGAACAAGTATAAAATGTTTAACTCTCTTCAATACACTCAGTGGTTAAGGATTACCATACCACAGTAAAATAATGAAATCATGCATTCAAAACTTATTTTACCGGTATGATTATAGATTTGAAAAATCATTTTTTAAAAGGAAAGTATACCTTGCGAGACTTTCATGAAACATAACGGAGAGGAAATAAAAAAAAATATAATCAACATTCGGACCCTTTTATTTCATTTTGTTATCATTGCTGAAACAGGATTACCAATTATGTTTTTGTATGAGAACGCATGTGTAAACTCTCATACATGGTACTTAAAATACCATTAACAAACACAACTAAATAATGGACTTGAAATTCTCTATTGAAAATGTATTCCATGTAGGCTGATATGGTCATAGCTGCGATAACGTAGCTTCTAACGAGGAGACATTTTTATGTATTGATACCCGGCTGGGTATTAATATATAAATATGACATTCATTAGCAGGTGACAGTGAATATTTTTATACACCCGTCAAATTTGACGGAAGAAATTTTTGGTATGGGGTTGTCCGTCCGTCCTGTGTAAACTTTTGTTTGTCTGGCAATCTCCTCCTACATTTTTCGACCGATCTCTTTGAAACTTGGTATACATTATAATCATGATATGAAGTTGTGTCTCCCTAAAAAGAATTTTGCTTCAACGATTTTTACAAAAGTTATTGCCCTTTGTTCATTTCAGTATTTGATTTTTTGTCCGGAGATTTTCTCCTACATTTTTTACAGCATGTCAGCTTACCACTCTTAGAATGATGCAGCTATTATTTCATTGTAAGAAAGTATAAAACACTATATGGCATTCTACGGGCGTAAATTGTTCAGCCCCGCTGTACATTTGTTATATATTGATACCCGGCTGGGTATTAATATAAAAATGTAGTACTAATATGGTCAGTGATTAATATATATAGAATTCATACCGTCAACCCCGAATACACTGAAAGAGGGTGATGACCCTCTTTTGAAAATAAAAAAGACGGTCATAGCGCGCGACGTCTTTTTTCGCAACAAATTTAGGAAAAGTACATGTAGATGTTAAATTAGAACTTTAATATTTTAATCATTCTACATTCATTGAACTATTCTTCCAGCAGATCTAGTTAATCCTCATCCATAATACCAAATTCAAAGCTGAAAAATAAAAAGATTTGTCAACAACACAACTTAAAAAAATAATTCATAATAATAGATTTGATACTGTGTTTTCACAGGCATTTTTTTATGTCAATTAAAATGGTCCTGACAATAAGATGTCACATTCATCTCATATAAAATACCATTTTGTTTCTGTCAGTAAAAATGGTCCTCGCACCCTACTCATATAAAATATCAGTTTTATACGAGTAGGGTTTGAATTCTTATTGTCAGGATCAATTTGATTGACAGAAACAAATAATCAAATGCCTGTGCGTGTTTTTGAAAGTCTAAGCTTAAGTAACGTCGTTTTTAGCACCAGATCCAACTGAAATATGCGATTAACAAAGAGTGCAGAATGGAGTGTTTGGTCCATGACCGCCAGACTTTATCCACTGTAACTCATTTCCCTACGACATTTGATATGTGCACAATTATCTTTTCTTTTAGCATTTCGTATAGTAGAAACTGCAAGTCCCGATAAGGACTTCTTCCTTCAAGAAGACATAACGTTACCTTCAAAATACGATCTATACTACGTAAATACAATTGTAAAAACAACTCGATTATTCGTTAAAACACCTCACTAATAACTTGTCGGTAAGTTCAGTAACAACGGTCTTTATAGAAACATTTGAATTCAGTTGACATTTATACTGCTGCAATGATACATATTTTTGGTATTACACACAGACCAATACAGTTTGTGAAATACATATAAGTAAACACGTGAATGGTTGCAGCGATATATAATATACTTTGGGTATTGAGTTTTTTTTTTTTTACATACATGTGAAATATTTTGTTTGTTTCATGAAGATAAGATTGGGGAATTATTACAGCACTGTTGTAGTATCTGGTGCATCATGATATTCTGTGCATAAGTATTATTCTTACATTACTTTCAACATATTTTTCAGTAACAAGTACTGGTATATGCATATTGTTGCGTAACATTTAAACACTGTCATTTTATTTAAACAAACTATAGTTTTTAAATTTCGGCCTTTTCATGGTGGGCTTCATTTACAATGCCTCTGAAGTGATGTATGTGCCATGTAAGTGCTGAAATAGTCTTTGGTATAAATAATTGCACAAAATTATGCTACAAACAAGAGTTTTATACAATATGGTGGACTTAATTTGAGTGATAATTTTTAACATTTAGTTATGGAACACAATTATGCATGTATAAAAACAAAATTGGAAATTCTCATTACTATTGGATTGATTAAACCACAGAAGCTTATAATAAGCACGGCGATTATTCTGACAGCTCTACTATTGAAGCAAGATTTTATTTAAATATTTTTTGTCTCCCCTCAGATAAATACCTTCTGTTTCAAAAACTGTACAAGAGTAGAGAGTTTCATTATTTTATAAAATTATATGTTGACATCTCAACCTATCAGTTTTTGTAACTGGGATTGATCTGGATTTGACAATTAAATTATGATATATAAACCAAGCAATAATCTTGTTGATGTTTCTGTGGCATTCCCCTTCGATACAAAGTGGATGATAATGTATAATTACCCGGGTATATATAATGTCTGTGACCTTGACCACAGAAACAATATGGATGGCACTGTACCTGTATGCTTGACCTTGACCTTACATTTACAATGTAGATTCTGTGTGGATGGTACTGTACCAGTATGTTTTTGTGGCATTTTATGTATATACAAAGTGGATGGTAATGTATAATTATATATGATGGTTGTGACCTTGACTACAGAAACAATATGGATGGCACTGTACCTGTATGACTGACCTTGACCTTACATTAACAATGTAGATACAGAATGGTACTTTAACTGTTGTGTCTATGATCTTGGCCAAATAAACAACAATATAGGTGATGCTGTACCTGTGTGTCTGTGACCTTCACCTTATACAATGTAGATACACTATAGATGGTTTGTCTGTGATCTTGAACATAATGCAGAGTTAATTGTACTGTAAACAAGTATGTCCATGACTTCTATCATAGAAACAATATTGACTGTATTGTACTTGTACTTGTATATGTCTTTGACCTTGACTTTTGATATATATGATGAAATGTGCTGTACCTGTATATCTCCATGACCTTGTCAGATACAAGATTGACTTTGCTGTTTATGCAGTAGATATAAGGTAGATGGTACTGTACCTGTATGTACATGGTATTGACCTTGGATACAAGATTGGCTTTGCTGTTTATACAGTATACATGACCTTGACTTTGGATATAAAGTAGATGGTACTGTACCTGTATGTACATGGTATTGACGTTAGATACAAGATTGACTTGGCTGTTTATACAGTAGATATAAGGTAGATGGTACTGTACCTGAATGTACATGGTATTGACGTTAGATACAAGATTGACTTTGCTGTTTATACAGTAGATATAAAGTAGATGGTACTATACCTGTACGTACAAGGTATTGACGTTAGATACAAGATTGACTTTGTTGTTTATACAGTAGATATAAGGTAGATGGTACTGTACCTGTATGTACATGGTATTGACCTTGTTAGATACAAGATTGACTTTGCTGTTTATACAGTTGGTATAAGGTAGATGGTACTGTACCTGTATGTACCTGGTATTGACCTTGTTAGATACAAGATTTACTATGTCAGCAGCTGTCTCACCTTGATACACATACAGCATGTACATATGTATCAATGTGTGATACATGTAGCTGGTGACGGGTGTAACAAGTATTGTATATGTTGAGTAGATCTAGTCACGATACACCTGGCACCAATAATTTGATACCTTGATACAATTGTCACAAATAATATGTATGCTTGATCATTTTATCACATATATACATAACGTTGATAAATATTTCCACTATTAATGTCCACTCTGCAGGTAGGGGATGGGGGAAAAATACACTTGCTGTTACACACCGCATGTATCGTCGGAGGCGGCTTATGAGGGAACCCCCTGCAGAATTGGGGATTTGCTTTTGTGTCCCAAAAGCGACCAAAATAAATCTGCTGCACCCATTGCAATATTTGGGTTTTTTGATTTCTTTCTACATCTAACTTCTTTTTATTTCCTAGCGCCTTGCTTGGCAACACCTCACTATTGGCTTTAGCAGTGAGGAAGGCAATGGTTCTGTCCCCAGGCCGGGACATACCAAAGTCCTTAAAAATTGGTTGTTGTTTTTCCCTGCTTAACGTTCCGCATTTAGAGGAATGGCAACCACTGGTTCACCTGTTGTAAGTATAATGTGACTCGGCGGAATACTGATCTGGGTGTCTTCGGCATTTATTTCAGTGAGAGGCACTATAAAGTCGGCATCAGATCCGCGCTATCACAAGGAGGCAAACACGCCAACTGCGCCAACATGTCCTATCTCTTGCATACAACACACGCAAGCACGCATACACGACACACATGGAGGCATGTTCTTAAATGACCTTAGCTGTTAACAAAATTAAACCAAACCAAACCACCATTAATGTTTAGCTTGATCCAGAATTCACTACATAACTACTGATTATTATGTCCCTCAGAAGCACACAGTTACCGTCAGCATACACGTTAATAACATCAATGAGCAGGGACACAACTCAGAATTGTTAAAACTATTGGCGAATATATGAACCAATGAAACATTTAAAGACTGAAAACTGTCAAGAAGAGTTAGTGTTCCAAAGAGTTACAGCTTGTTGCCTTTTCGAGGACTTCCGCTAATTAAATTTCAGTTAAATTTAAGTAATTTCACGTCTTCATCAACGTGCATCTCTCGAAAACCAGTATTGTAAGTTTTTCCATCAGTATTTTGATATCTGTCCCGGCTATCTGGTTTTTCGAGTCAAGTCCGTGAATATATGAATAACTGAAACACGTGAACATGGGAATGCAGGGCTGTTACTACGAAGAAAAGGAAAGTTCACGATCATAAAATCAAATTGTCCTGTGGGTCCTGCTGTACGTATGTTAAGATCGAGATAAGCTGCTGATCTACATATAAAAGCGTCTGTAGTATCCTTGATTTTAAGTTACGGGTGGTACAAACAGATTTTTTTCATAT